GATATGGTGTGTGCCCTTGCAGGCGTCTATATGTCTCCCCGAACGTCTTTGTTTCAGGTCAATCCATCATTTGTCCCGAGGCTAGATATATACAATGCCAAGGAGAAACCCATATCCATTGACCGAGATGGGGAACCCTTACTCGTGCCATCTTCTTCCTCGTTCGAACTGAAATCCGGTGACAAAGTCCATATCGTAGTAGGAGTATCTATCGAGTAAGCTCAGCCTGCTCTGAAGTCGCTCTTCCTAATTTCGTCACTGTAGGGTAAATTGGCGATGCATTGCCTGTTTCCTTCCACCTGCACGAGGAACGACATCCATATCAAACGAAGATTGTGCTTCAATGGGTAGGTTTGGTAACTTCGCAACTCTTGCGTCGTTCACTAACAAGTACTCCCAGGCATAAGTCTCCCAACATCAGCCTCCTCGCTTGCAACACACTATCTCACACCCAAGTATGAGGTCACCGTCCCGTTGATTACGGCCCTACTTTCGGCGACTCGGCTTGTGAAGGTGGAATGGCTTCAGGAGCTCGTTCGCCTTGGGAGCACGCCAGACGACGCCAACCCATTCAAGCTAGCCCCTCTGGAGCAAGTTTTTAACCCGCCATTAGAGAGTAAATACCGACCAGCCTTTTCGCCTGCTCTGCCTCCTTCGTTTAAATCTTTCAAATACTGGGAGCCAAGTGAGGAGCGCCTCCATCTCTTGAGAGGATATCGTTTCGTTCTACTTGGCGACAGGGAGGGAGAAGTAGATGGCGATATGAGAGAGCTGATCACTCGTGGTGACGGTGAATACGAAAGTTTCCCGATGAAGGCTGGTCATGCGAAATGGCGACAGCTGCTTGCCAAGGCAAAGAGAAAAGTAGACGAGGCGGGATTGCAGGTCGTCATCGTTGCCCGCGGGCTCGCTGTCCAGTCTACTGTCGGTTCTGACAAGTGGCAGGAGATGATCGCAGATGCTAAAAGGTGGAAGCACTCCGCAATTGAATCTCTATATCGACTTTGCTGATCTTGGAATGCAGCCTTTCGCTGCCAATAGTCAATACCGACACAGTCTTGAGTGCTGTCATCAACACTGATGCCACATCAATCTTGAACAGTTCCATTTCTCAAGGTGCGCTGACGAGGTTGCTTTTGTCATCTTGCGCTGACAAGTACTCGTATCATCAGTGTCGATAGCTCGGAGCCAGTCTCCTCTGCCAGATTTCATTCCAAATACACACCCTGACGAGCCATCCTTACCGGTCGCGGCAGAGAAGGAAGCGTCTCCTCCAAAGGAACAAGACGTGGTCTCGAAATCCCACTCTCCTTCGCCTCCCATCGAGATTCATGGTTTGCCAATTCCTCCTCCCCCTCGCAAGGTGGATAGCTCGTTCTCAATGACAAATCATCGTTCTGACTGGATTTATCCCAGAAACTTGTTCGTCGTGCCAAACCCGCATCTACGGCAAGTAACCAAGAAGAACCGGCACCCCCTGTCGTCAGTAACGAATCGCAAGCGGAAAATCTTGGGTTCACTCTACCACCTGTACGTTGCTACCACCCTTGGTTATCTGCTGGACTTCTTATTTCCCCCCAGCTCCCTGCTACGGCGCGATCAACGAAATTGAAGCGAAGAGCTGCTACTCCAACCCCTGCGCCAGCGACGCAGGAGCCCGCGGCCGACAACGAACCAAGTCAGGAACCTCCTTTGAAAAAGTTCAAAGCACTCTTTGATGCAAGCGATCCGAACAAGATGAATGTCGAAGGACCGAACAGCCTTGAGGCTGCATACGACACTGCTATGGGAGGATCGGTTGGCGTCACGCAGGGTAGCGAGAGTCTTACAGAAAACGAATCACGCCCGTTACGTTCCCAAACAGGCGCCCGCCCGCGCTCACGCAGACTGAACGTAGTGGCGGAGGAAGAAGAGGAGAGCGGGATTTCGCAAGCGGAGCTGAGAGGTTCAGTGCCGCCTCCCAAGCCAGGCAACCCCGGCGAGCCACCGCAAAGTCAGCCCCTTGATCCTTCCTTACAGGAACCTCCGTTACCGCACTTCAACGGAACGCAGGTACCTGGCCCAACAGGCAAGGCACTACCCAAGCCTAAGAAAGCCACTTCAGGGCAAGATCATGAGTTCGACACCGACCAGGCGTTCCTGACCGCTCTCGCATCAAAGAAAAGAGGCAAGAAGACCGAGGATGACTTTGACCGAGAGTTCAACAATCTTCGCATCTCAAAACCGGATATTCGCCGACAAGAAGAGGAGCAGGCATGGGAGGTATTGGGAGACTTCGACAGTGACGTGAGGAATGTGAGAGGAAACTTCATGGTCGTGATGGACTTGGAGGTCTTTCGAGACACCTGTCCTCGCCCCGCATCTGTTGGCGTGTGCAACTACAATGGCAGGCCAAACTACAAGAAGTTTAAGAAGGTGAGTACCGTCGATCTCATGCACGTATTTTCCTTCCAAACAGGTTTTCAGACACCGACGCTCTCATCTCGAGCTCCCATTGAGTTAGTGGTCAAGGCTGAGAATGACTATGGCGTGGGCTCAGGTATATACTTTACACAAATTCCCTGGAAGCAGGGTTCCTGATACTCTCAAAAGGATACTGGAAGGATAGCCCGGCTGCCAAGGATTACACCAACCTACCCCCCACCCAACCAGAGGCACGGGGAACCCAAAAACGGCGAGCACCAACCGTCCTTGAATCCGACGACGAGATCGATGTTGTCCCGGCTGCGAAGAAAACCAAGCGCGCTGTCTCCAAACCAGCCGGTGCAGCCAAACGACTTTTCTTGGAAACAGACGACGAGGGCTCTATGCTCGAGTCCCAGAAGTCAGAGACGGTGCGCCAGGCCCAAGATGATGAGCTACCTGCACGAGGAAATAAACGGCGCCACATAATTGCGGATGATGATTCGGATGATGGCGTTGCCTTCAGAGGTTTTGGGAAGAAAAAGAGGGTAAGGTAATCAGTTTGAGCGCGACAGTCTATTTTCTCTTGCGTATGGGACATGCAATAATATATGGTTTTTGTAATGTCATTAAGCAGCTCTCGCAGCCAGCTCATCATGTATGGAAAACCCCAGCAAACGTTGTGTTTTCGCGGCCACTCGGCCACCGGTTTGACTACCACTGGTCAGCCAACGCTGCCTTCAACGAAGAAAATGAGGATGCGTACCGTTGTTCCTGACAGACGAAGCTCTCCGGAGCGCCCTCCCAGTCATCAAGGATGTTATTGGTTGCGTTCCCCTGAGCTTCGTCGTCGTCGTCTGTACCGAAAAGGTCTAAAGCCAGCTGGGTGTGGCTCACGCCGGCGTATGTAGTCACGCATCGAGGGTTGATCAGGATGCGGGCTGGCGTGTATGCCGAATTTGGCACAGTTAACCGGACAGCGGGCAGAGTATCCAGTGGAAGGTCAGAGTCGGGCATAGCATCGAAGTCTGACCCAGCATTGGCATCAGGATCAACAACTGTGTCTGGGATTTGGCGTCGATATCTAACATGAGCATCTGGCGTGACCTTCGCGGTACGAAGGGCCGGATCAGGTGTTTCGTCTTCTTGTACACCCTCCAATGCTTTGCTGACCCAAAGATCCCTGCAGAACCACGCTTGGCTGCTATCCAAGCATGCAGCATCTGGAAGGCGCTGAGGAGCCGTGTCGGAGGAAGACGAATTATGGAAATCTGTGCCATGTCGATACCTCAAACCCTTGTAGTAGGACTGAGCGGGATCTACAATGTGGGTCCCCGCTTCACAGCAGAAAACCTGGAAAGGTAGATGCTGGATATACCGGGCAGCGCCGTTCTTGTCACGAGGGGGTACAGTATCAGGTTTTGATGACGACTTAGACTGCCGAAATTGATCGCCGCGTATATCCCGAGTTCGCCATCTAGATGGCGGTCATTGAGCAATAATTGTATTGGATACCCATCCTTTCTCACCTGTCGGAGAAGATGAACTGCCCACTAGACTCAGCCCAGTCCATTCCGCAGACCATAGCAGCCCCGTTTGCGACGCCGACTCTGAGAGTTTCCAGAATATCGTTGGGGCATGTGAATCCTTTGAGCCAGATTACCCGGTAGAATGCGATCTGGCGCTTATCGCGAAGCTCGAGGAGCGGCTCCAGCGCGAGATTTCGCATATAAGCCTCTTCCAAAGGGTAGTAGGCCACTGCGGGATCTTCGGTCATTGATAGAACACGGCGAATCCTAAAGGGCACGCCGAGGAGCGTCAACACTGCTTCACAGAGATCCGTAAGGGTGGATGTGGAGTCTGTTGAGCCATAGTCTAGCATGGAAACGAATAGGTTGGAAGTGCCGAGGCGCTTTGCCAGTTGAACAATGACAGCAAGCTGATCGACGAGGAAATGGTCTGCAGAATGAATAGCCAAAGCTATGTAGTAGAGCCGGTCTTCTTTCGCAAGGTCGTCGTAAGCATCGTCGTCAATGTTTTTATTTTGTCCGAATGGTCGAATTAGAGTAGGGCAGTAAGCGGCGACCCAGCCATTGAGCGACAGCAAGCTCTCCACAGCACCAAGAACGTTTTGGACGTCTGCATGACCAGTCTCCTTTCCAGCGATGCTAGGCCAGTAGTGAGATCAGAGGAATATGTTCGCTCTTGGCCTACAACTTACAATGGGGTCTGAAATCTTTCCCAATAGTCCCTAACACCACCAGCAATTAGATCATCAAAGATGTCCGGCCTCGCATCCCTCCCCATCCTACCCTGCATGAACTTGTGCCTCTGGACATTTAGAGTCTTGTCCAGCCCAGTAACCCTCTCGAGAACATTAAAACCCTGGTATTCCGAGAAGGAGGATAGTGTCGTCTCAGATGGCGAAGGGAAAAAGAGTCGTGCAGTCAGTAACAGAGCCAAGACTGCGAACAGTTTAGTTATACCGTTTCGTCTCAAAGAGAAGGCCATGTAGACTCCACAACAGAGCGCGTGACAGAGGAAAGGTAGGCGACAAACAATTAATAAAAGGTACTTCTAGTGTAAATTGAGATAAGCCGACCTTAGCTCAGTTGGAAGAGCGCGAGACTGTAATGGAGAAATTAATCTTGAGGTCGCCTGTTCGAGCCAGGCAGGTCGGAATTTTTAGCATTTTTCTTGGCAAGGTAGCCTCAATTTGAAATGTCAGGAAAAATGTGAGCATACGGTTGACCATCTGTACCAGCTTCATTTTTAGTTTCAATTTCCCACCCACATTAGTTGCAAGTTACTCTGCTGCCACCAACAAACATGCTACTACATACCTGTAGTAATAGCATTAGCTTGTCACCTAACATATTGATGGCAGCCTGTGCAAGATATTCACTATCTGTAGCATGAGTCAAGAAAACAACATCAAGAGGCAGGTAAGTACACATAAATGGATTGTTGGTTCTCTTATTTATAATACATCAGCAAATCACCCTTTTTGGCACAGTGGCCATAGCCATCACAGTGCTATAGTGCCATAGTGCCACAGTGCCACAGTACATCAAATTGTTGTTAATTACAGTTGATAGATAGTATGTAGCAAAAATGTGTAGTAAAACACTAATAATACAATAGTTAAACTAAGTAAAATGTGCAGTGCAAAAAGTGTAGTAAAAAGCCTAATAAAGTGTAGCAAAACTTTTCTAATGGTTTGGACTTGTCAAAAATTTGTGTTTGCACAGTCATGTGTTGTGTTGACTTTGTAACTTTGAACACTTAGTGCCTGGCGCCAACATCATCTGCACCACACCACACCATGCCCACTGAGCAATATAGGTAAGTGTTGAGTTATGATGTACTTGTCACAGCTTAGTCATAGCTTAAGTAATTAGTAGTTACGTCACTCCTACATTTAGTATATAAAGGCAGCCCTTCAGAGCACCTCAATAACAGCTCTTTTACTCTTAATTAGTATCATCTATACTTGAGTCTTTCTTATCTCCACCAGGTGAGTTAGAGTGCATTTCTTTGCACATAGAGCTCTAGTAGCTCCCTGTTTCAACAGTAAGTATCCCATATCCCCAGTACCCAACTTACATGTGCAGCACCCCACTTGCATTTGCAGTGCCCAACCTAGGCCTTGAGCATGCTAGCTGTGTCCCCAGCACCAAACTGACATTCCTTGCACCCTAGTCACATCCCTGGAACCTGCTTGTGACCTCTCTGACTCACTTGCACCCTCCCCAACTCACTTGCACCCTCCCTGACCTAGTTGCACCCTCTCCAACCCATTTGCACCATTTCCAGTGCACTTACAGCCCCTCTGACCCACTCACAACCTCCCCGACTCACTCGCACCCTCCCCAACCCAGTTGCACACTTCCTGACCCATTTGCGCCATTTCCAGTGCACTTGCAGCCCCTCTGACCTACTTGCAACCTCCCCAACTCACTTGTGATCTCTTCAACCCACTTGCACCCTCCCAGACTCACTTGCAAGCTCCCTGACTCACTCACAACCCCTCCAACCCACTTGTGCCCTCCCCAACCCATCCACAACCTTGCCAGCGCACTCACCTTCCCTCTGACCCATCATGATTGCAACCTCCCCAACCCTACTCGCACCCTCCCCAACCCACTTGCACCCTTCCTGACCCACTTGCACCCTTCCCAACCCACTTGCACCCTTTCCAGCATGCCCACAACCCCTCTGACCTATACAGGACCTCTACAACCTACATGCACCATCTACGTCCCACATGCGCTCGAACAAGCATACTCCCTATATCACACACCTAGGAGGTATGAGTAGTAGTATATATTAGTTCAAATTGTACTGTAGATTAGGTATATAGTATTAAATGCATTCTTTTTTTGCTTAATATGAGTGGTGCAATGAAATAAAACCAAAAAAAGACTAGGGTAGGTGGCATCTAGCCTTAAGACCTACAGTACTGTACAGTTTCATGTTGCTGTACAGCACTATGACAGCATTGTGATGGCACTATACAGGGGGGGGACCTTTCTGTGGCCCTGTAGTGGCTGTGACTGGCTGCACAGTGCTGTACAGCCACTAAGTGATTTGCTGATGTATTGACTTCGTCGATGGCAGGTGACATGTAAACTAAGTGCTGACTATGGTGCATGGTGCTAAGTGCACTCTTGTTTATAAGATTGACTCTGGACTCCCGTTGACAGACGTCCTCCCAACCATCCACAATGTTGCAGCTTGTACAGGACCACCCAGAGCTATCTGGTGGGATGGTGCTAGATGAAGGCAGTGGAGATATTGACCTCATCATGATGGTCTCATTAGCACACAATCTGACAGGGAAAACTCAGTATGACTGTGGTATGTACTTGCATGTTCTCATTAAATGCACAGCTAATGCCTACGTGCAACAAGGACATGCAATCTGCTATGCAGTTAAGCAGATAAGACCTACCTACACCTACCTAGTAAGATGTTGTGCTTTTGCAATTAGAAGCCAGACAGATGCAAGCATATCTCATATGCTAATTTCTGTTTACAACATACATAATCACATTAAAACATAAACAAGCTATTCTGGTCACAGCCACTTTGTCATCAAGTGCCAGCTCATCCTTGACCAGCTCTCCCAAGACCCTCTCAATTGCCATGGACCATGGACCATCCACAAGGCAATTGCTGCCAATAGTGGTGTTTTACTCACCAGGTGAGCCCCACTACTGCTGCCTTGTGGCACAAGCATGACCCAACTAACAATTTCATTGCAGGTGATACATTGAAAGTGAAATGTGAATCCATGAGCCTGATGGCTTTGCATTGTGAGAGCCTACATCAAAAAAGATTTCACATGCTTATCTTGTCTTGCTTGAACCATATCACAAGTGGAGTGGTGATGGTCACAACAAACTTGTGGCCATTGATTTTCCTATATGGGCTGCCAGAGATGTATTCTCGAGCAAGTGGCTAGGTATATGGGTTATGCCGAAAAATTGCTGTGGTACAACAATAGCATACTTATATCTCAGTCTTGTCTATCAATATGGTGGTGAGGAAGTAATTGGATTTCATGTATATCACACTGATCTTGAGCCCTTGTGTCATGGTAGGCATGCCATTGCAGACAACTATGGATTGTGGCAGTGAAACAACACAGGTGTATGGATTTGCAAATGTCCTCTGGTGAGTTCTTGATACTGTCACATCCTGGTATGTATTTATTGTTTTGACAGCAAATATTCCTCTCCCCACCTTCCAATGGATGAACTGCCTGCACACCAGTTCTTGAAGAGTGTTCACAACATCACAATAGAATGTGGTTGGTGCCCACTTTGCCTGCAGTGGGGGGATAATGTGAAGGTTTTCTGGGAGGCTGGTCACAAAATCTATGACAACATAGACCATTACCAATGGTAAGCCAACAGCTTTGAGAATATATCATACTCATGTAGTATTTCTTAGTATGCTTGTTTGCTGGTTATGGCCCAAACTAATTCAGCAGGAGCTTGACAAGTTGATGGACAAGTTCAACAACCATGTCATGCGCACCAATAAAAGGAAGAAACTACCTTCGGGTGTTTCTCTGAATGTTGCGTTTGCCCTGCATGAACAATATGAAGGAGAAAACTATTTGCAAGCAGTAGATTGTGATGTTGTGTGGCACTTGATGCAGAATATTGGAGGTGAAAGCCTTATTTGCTTTGTAGACCCAGAGTATGCAGCCCATGCACAAGCTGTCTTTGATGCACTTCACTTCACGTCATTGACATTACAGAATGTGTAGACTGTATTCACTGCTATGCTTCCTCTGATGTAGTAGTACACTTCTATAGTGGTATAGCATTATGTCCAATGACTCTAATTGACTCTGTGTGTGAGGAAGATGAAAAGATTGAGCCAGCAAAGTTGGGTCCTGGGTGTATCTGGACCCAAATGAAATTGTCAGTATATGAGTGTATAAGCCAACAGGACAACAAGAAAAATGTGCATGTGAGAGGAAGGCTTTATAGTAAAGAAATGGTGGGAGAGGAGGGAGACTGAGAAAATTGCCACTATCTACTGAGATGTGTGGGAGCAGGTCAGAAAGTAAGTAAATAGTGATTGTACAAGCAGCTTACCCGGTGGGGTGGTGGGAGCAGATTGGAAAGGGTGAAGCCACCCTTTGAAACTGCCATCTCACTAAGCCTGCCTAGCAAGTATGAACTCCGTTAATAGAGATGGAGTTGACATTGAGGGGTATGAACCTGATGATGACACACAATTGTAGCCACACAGTGGCTAATGCAGGCTTCAGTTTTGACCAAAGATGGCCAAGACTGATAGAGGACTTTGCACATAGGGAGCACTACTATCGTTGACCCAGTAATGCAAAACACAAATTCTCGCTTTCAAATTACTCTTCATAAAATCAGATTAAGTGTATTTATCTGTCATCTATACTGGTATCAAATTTCTGAGATGTTCGAGGTGGTTGTGTGAGAGCTAAAAATTGAAAACACCACATTTTGAGCTTTTGCATTTGGTGTAAGTAAATCTTCAGGCCCACAGCTATTCCAATTCTCTGTCAAACACAAAATAAAATATATGGCGAGTATCTAAAACCTATTGGCTCTCATCTGAGGGTATTTTAAGGATAGTTTGAGCTGGTTTGAATGGTCCAAGGTAAATTGCAAAATCTTGGGAGATCAGGTGTGACATGATCGAGAGAAAATTCAGAGTCCAACTGATCAGCGTGATCACCAACATATTATAGTAGCTGTGATGCATTGGTCCATAGACCTCACTTGCAAATGGAAGGGTATCATTACTGTTGCTGAAGCACTGCAGGGTGACACAATCCATTGCACAGATAAGCTAGGAATTAATCAGAAAATAGCATCATGGTGAATCCTTGTGTGGGGGGGAGGGACATACCACCATGCAAGACAACACATACATGTAAAGGTGTGTTGTGGATCCATACATCTTATAGAAGTCAAACATGAGTGATGAGCTATGGCCATATCAAAATTTCAGGTGGAAATCCTCCAGCAAAGAGTGCCCATATAGACAGGTTATGTTCCCCTGGTATGCAATGTGAATGAGTAAGACTTAAGCTACAAGATCATACATACCTGCGTGTCATGTTCATAGAGGAAGAATGCCACCCATTTATTGAAGTTAGTGATTAGGTTGACCATTTTAA